TTGTCACTCACTTTTATCTGCTTATCCTTATATAATTTATCGAATATAAGGTCAGCTTTGGTCACATCAAATGAGAATACCGTAGCCTTTTTATTATCGTCTTTTAGAGGCTCATTCTTGCCCAACGTCCTGGATTTGACCATTATGGGACAAGCATATGCATCTCCCTTAACCAATTCGACTAGATATACTTCTGTCTGATCGTAATATTTGTTATTAACAGCATGAACGTCGAAGTTTGGGTCTCTATAGTAAGTCCCTTTACTAGAGTTTTTTATCTGTTCTTCTTCTCTTATCAATCGTTCATATCTAATTACATTAGCACTCAATTGAAAAATGTTAGGAAATTCCCATCTTAGAATTTCTTTTTTAAATCGAAACTCAAGCAACTTTGAGCGATTTTAACGAACTCCTTTTCGAGTAGAGAGATAAAACATTTGCTTCAGCTATTTTAAATCTCTGAAGGAATATTTTTGCCCATTCATTTGGCATATATTCGCCAAATCGACCAAAGTAACTTCAGGTTCATTTTTGTAAAACTGAGCGTGGAACAATTGTTTTAGTTGTTATCATGTTTGAACTGAATTTGCTGGCAAGTTAATGAACCACGAGAAGACTACTCCTGTTAACGAACTAAGGAATAATCTCATTTTATAGTAATCGGTCACTTCACCACTTTGCAGTGTGAATCGCCCTATATTCCAGGGTAGAAACCTCTCGTAGACCAGTAAATAGTGAAAATTATGATACTTTATATCCTCTAGGCAACGGATAAGCCTGATCTACCCAATTCGGATATGGCTTTGTGTAAGTCGGCCTAATAAAAGGACGTGTCCTACAAGCTATTTGATCATATACTATCTCCATGATTTGATTCCTCAACATAACATTAGGATCATACGGAATTCCTATAGGTTGATTCATTGGTGGAATTATTTGAGGCCTAATGTTTGGTCCTTGGTTTGTAACAAAGTGCCATTATTTAGGCCATTATTACCGTTAGCCTGGGTGTTTCCTCCATCATTAACACGCGGGGTGTTCTGCCCAATGGCTTGGACATTGTCTCTTGCATTTAGGTTACCCCCCAAGTTAGATATTCCAATTCCACTATTTAAATTTGTCATCGCACCACCCCTTGGTTTGAAGTGGACAGTCCGAAAGGTAGCTCCGTTCCTTGGTTCGGACTCAGGACTGGAGAATTATGTCCCACAATTGTCCTGCCTTGGAAACTTGGATAATTGGTTGACAAATTTGGCCTACTAACTTATTCATGATTTCATTTAAAGTATTCAATTGTTTGGTCATGTTGTCATAATGTACATTTCCATTTTGAGTAACTCTTTCCATATTATGAACATTTCGTAGATTTACCTGTTCAACAACATCTTATGTGAGTTCTCCAAGCAATGCATGCATGGTTCGAGGATTCAATTCCATCAATGGCTCGTAACGACTGTGATTGTCTTGACTGTGTCCCTCTGTTCGTGGAGTACTTTGTTGCTCCTCATATAGTTCGATCACAGACTGGACTACTCATGACTTGCTGGTTCTTTATCAGAATTCGAATGAGGCATATTGCTTCAGTTTTCGTATCCTCAAACACCAATGTCCTACTGGGAGTGCCAAATTATTTCGCGCGGATTATCGAGCCTCGCTAACAATTAAAAGATGATTTAGACGATTGTGTAAGGAACAAACCTCTTGAGATAAAGTTCCAACGAGAGGTGCTTTATTTATGAAGATTACAATTGGGAAGAAATAAAACTCCTCCAAGGGGCACAAGCACATAAAGTAATTTGAAAGTTTGACGATAAGAATAAAAAGAAATGAAATTTACATACTATTTTTTAGAGTGATTGATTCGGGGTCCTTTTCTTCTATGTCTTCTTTCTCCTTTTATACTCATTTGTCAGTTTTCCTTGTAAAACCGTTTGGAAACTACTTGTCGCTCCATAACTATCCACTTGCTTCATAATATCTTCTTTCTCCTTTTATACTCATTTGCCAGTTTTCCTTGTAAAATCGTTTGGAAATTACTTGTCGCTCCATAACTATCCACTTGCTTCATAATGGCTGACGTGTTGAAGAACTACTTTTTAAACTGCTGCTATTTCTCCCATGTTTTAACTACTTACAACCAAGATTCTTGGATCGTGGAATATGATAAGTTTACTCAATAAATGCTTCAATAATCGCCACTTTAAATAATAACTGGACGCTATGTTCACACAGATCTTGGACGCTTCGAAGGTTTAGGCAAGAATGAGACCGTCATTCTGAGGGACAATAAGGTACTTCATTCGCTCTGATTCTAAGCGTCCTGTAAACTTGGGCGATGATAGTCCTCTATTTATAAGCATCCACTACATTTCACAAGGTCTCATTTCGGCCTATCCCTCAAATTCCCTAACTGGACCCCATTTCTTGGACCATTTTAATTGAGCATCATTTTTGTATGTCAACACATTCGTTAAAAGATAGAAATATTGTGAGATTTTTAAATGTACATTGCACTTATTTCTTCTTCATCTTCTTATTGAAAAAATTTGATTGCTTGAATCAAACTTTTAATTATCATATTCATCTAAAATTTTCATCTAACACTTGCGCTATTATTTATTACTATTCACTGAACTATTAGTCTCTTTTAGTACTTAATTCATTTGTATAATTTAATATCTTTGTAAAATCATTACTCTAAATGTGTGGGTCATATTGAGATCCCATGAAATATCAATAGTATAAGAGTCGTGCTTCTTGTTGTAAATCACCATATAGGTCATATTGAAGTCTCATGAAAGCTCAATATTGTATAAAGATCAGTGCTCTTTATTTGTAAACCACTGAAAACGTTGTAAGAGTTTGGATTGCACCATAAGTCAATCAATATAGTGAAAAAGTCTTGTTCATAACAGAGAGCTTGGTAATAGAGGAGGTAAATCATTGCATTTGATTGAACCTCTATAATTATATTATTTACATAATCTCTGCCATTTTAATTATCATTATTTTGTTTATATTTATTATTTGATTAGTCTACTTGTTTTTTATTTGCTTGTGATTATTACTTAACTGATAAATGTGTTTTTACTTTGGCTGATTTAAGATTATTTTTTGAAAAAGTTTTAAAAATCAATTCATCGCATTTTTGATTAGTTATTTTTTGGCTATCAATCCTTACATGCAATAAATGGTCCATTCGAAGCATACTTGATGAACAAGAGCTCTCTTAGCTTCATCCAAAGCATTGAGGGTCATTTGGATGCCCCATAATGCAATCTTCGTGCTAGTCATTTCCTATGGGTATTTGACTCATTGCAAGCCACAATGCCTTTGTCCAAGTAGGATCATCTGTTAGTCAATGACTTATTTGAAGTGCCTTTATAACATACTCGTTTCACGATATCTATACATTGCCTCATTCACTCAACAATGCAACGTTACCCTACAACCGCATTCTTAGCAAACATATTGTTGCAGGGCTAGAACCAAATGAACCGCATTCTTAGCAATCATAATTTTCTTAATTTTCACCTCCAACCTCCAAATGACGCTCTGTTTGATATGTAGCCATGCTATCAACCTCAATATCAAGTCAACAATTTTTTAGCCCCAACATATACACGAATGTTCAGATATTGCCCTTGCAATATGCTAAAATTATGTCAATATCACTGCAAGATATTTCTCCCTTAGTCCCCTATATTTTTTAACTAAAAGGATTTACTTCAACCTTGATGGGAAGCTTCCTATCTCGTTAGGCTAGCTATCCGTAAAGTTGGTTGCTAAGAATCTCTGCTTAATGAACGAATGTGCTACCATTGTAACCAACAATGAAACTCAATGTCCCAAATTCTCTCATCTTTGCTTATGGTTACGGACATTTGAGTTAAGCGCGAAGCTTGGCCAAATTCTCTCACTGATAGCAATGTTCTAAAATACACGTTTAGACACGAAACTTGACCTTGTCATTATACTTTACGATTTTTAGAATCCTCTTTTATAACACTAGTCCGTCTCCCCTAATTGCACTTAAAAGTCCTTTTCCTAGTTGCCACAGAATCATTTTCCTTTTTCACAACATTGTTTCATGGTATCTAGCACAATTCATTCAAAGCTGAATTGTGGATAGCATTATCCTAATGGACCCGCCATTATTATTGGGCTTTAGATAAAATTGTCATGTTAGTCCCTCATCTTAAGTTACTAGTTTTGAGTCAATCCCAACAATTTATCCTAGAAAATGTAGTTTGCAAATTCATATACATAAAACTTGATAATATTTAGTTAAGAGTTGTTGGTAATTCCACAGCTTAATTAATATATGCATTGTATACTATAGACACGCTTTCACATTAATTTCATCCACTTCGTTCATTTTCGCAGTACCATATATCATTAACCTCTTCACATGCAATTCAAATTTGCATATGCTATGTATTACTAAAGTATTCAAGAAAATATCCTCCCAAACTATTTCACGAGCTCTCCACAATTGATTGTAAAATTCATCTCAAGCTTAATCAATTAGTTATAAGATTACGTTTATTAAAAAAAACTGTTTTCGTGCAGAAGATTATATATAAATCAGCTTAAAATTTTAGATAAGATAATTAGACATCGAGCAAGTAACAAGCTCAAAACAGGATCTTAACAAGAAGTTGTCCACCTGGATTATGTAAAATGTTTCTGACGCCTGATGTTCCAAATAAAATTACAGGTTCTGTTTTTCATAGAAAAACTGGCGGAAGCATCAAGCATCCCCATATTGTGGAATACTCTCGCTCATTATTCCACCTGTAAATATACACTCAATGCTCTCTTCTACTCTATCTAGAAATGCAAAGATGAAAAGAAATTGTCAAAAAAAGGCCCCATATTGTGTTCTTTTTTACGAATTTTAATACTAACTCTTCACAACAAGGTTTTGAGATTTTTCAATCACCTATGCAATATGCAGAATTGCAAAGGGAGCCTTGTACTACTTGTAAAGGATGAAGTTAGTACCCATTATTGCCATCAAAACTTCCTTGAGCACTTTGTCGTCTTTTTTCCCGCCAATTCTCACCCCACATCTTAGCTTCCGCAACTGCGCGTTCCCTGTCCAAGTCTCTGTTCAACATTTTCGTAGTTTCTCTTGGAGAATCATCCTTCTCAGATCCTTCCAAGTCCCACTTGCGTCCAGATCCTCCTCCCTCTTCATTCCTAAATATTTTTCCACCTCGCTCATCTTTGTTTCTGTTATCATCCTTGTCCCCAGAGAACCTGTAGCTATGTCCAGGAGCTGTACTAGTATCATACGCCTGATTTGCCAAATAAGAAAGTGCAGTGACCACATCTCCAATTAGAGGGCGACCAGCAGCCTGTTCTTGGATACACAACGATGCCACAGCTAGAGCCTGATAAAGACCTCGCATAGGATACTTGCCTTGCAGTCGTGGATCTGCCAATTTTGCAAATTTCCTACGGTCATGGAACAATGGCCGTGCCTGCATTACATGGAAAATTCTAATGGTAACTACATAAATACTGAAGGGAATCTATTATTGCAAAAAAGATGGAATCAGAAATTAGATACTACTACAGAATACAAAATATTGAGTGACTAACCCATGTGACAAGGTTCTGTTCTCCATGTGGTTGGGTTCCGTCAACGGCTTTACGTCCAGTGATGAGCTCTAGGAAGACAACCCCAAAACTGTAAACATCAGATTTCACTGTCAGTTGCCCAGTCATGGCATACTCAGGAGCACAATAGCCATAAGTTCCCATGACCCTGGTGGACACGTGTGACTTGTCTCCTGTAGGACCTAGCTTTGCAAGTCCAAAGTCGGAGAGCTTAGGGGAATATCCTTCACCTAGCAATATGTTTGATGACTTAAAATCCCGATAAATAACGGGAGGATTTGCCTTGTCATGGAGATACTCCAAACCTTTAGCTGCACCAGCTGCTATCTTCATTCTTGTGTTCCAATCTAATGGTTCTTTATCAGGTGGAAGATCTGAAGAAAAAAGGACATAAAATGTGAGGATAGTGAACACATGATAAAATATGGGCTGTAGACATGCTGGTGAAATTTTAATATTCAATTAAAAGCATAAAACACAAATAGCTAACTTCATTCAGCAGACTCCACTATTAACAGTGCAACCAACTCAAGATAATTAAGAAAATTCTTATGAACATGAAATGCATGTGCATGCCTGTGTGTGTAAAGTGATGTAGCAATTTCCAGAAGAACAGAAATTATAGGTCAGGACTACAACAGCAGTAGATTTCAACTAACTAATCCAATCTCTTTGTCACAATGAGATGGCAAGCAAATCTTGAACATATGAAGAGACATAGAGAGGCAAGAAATTTTTTTTTAACTTCATTGTTTGAGCAACAGAATCATTCAGAGAAATGGAAAGGACGAGGATACATGCATTTTACATGTATTATCGAAAATTTTGACCCACAGAATTAGGTCGCCAAAGGGTCATAGAATTCATTAACAGGATGTATTAACCATAAAGTTAGTATAGTACTAGGATGCTTCGAAGATGTTCTACATCAACTCAAAGAAAGTTAAAAGACATCATAAAAGTGACTTTTCAGGACTGATTACATTATAAATGGAAATTGGTAAGATGAGAGGAAACACGTCTCGTTACTTCTTAGTAAATTGTAGTTGAGACTTAGAGCTTGAGACGAGCATCATGTGTTGTAGAGTAGTGTCCAATTTCGTGGAATCAAACACAGAGTGAGTGGCAAGTCAATAGGTCGATTGTAATATCACGTTGAAAAGGGTGAGATGTCATTGATAGATCATATGATTACACCGTGCTGAGAATGAAGTGAATCACTTGAAGGATCAGTTAGAAACTTTGTAGGTCATATGTTGTTTGTTATGCGTGTAAAGGGAAAAAATACAATAAAATCTCACCAGGCTCAATTGGAATATTTTAAGGTACGAAGAGGAAGAAAATTTTTGTATGAATTTTGAGAAATCATGTCAAGGAGAATACAAGCATCCAAGATAGTAACAAGTTGGAGATTGGATCCAAGATAGTAACAAGCTGGAGATTCATGACAACTAGAATAAATTAGTGCAATTGAAATCTTCTAAGGTCAAAAATTGAAGACAATTTTTGTAGGAATATTGATGTTTCAAGACTGGCAGGTCCACAAAATTTTAGTTTCAATTGACTTCTAGTACATTATAGTTGCTGCCTACTGGCATATGTAAGCTATGATGTTAGGACTCGGGTATGGTACATATCTAAATGTCGGATCTTTTATTTTCTGAAATGTGGAATACGGGGACATAACTAAATAGAGTCCAAATTTCGAACACGGGTACGTAGGTACTCTTTTCAAATTTCAATTTTTTTACTAATCCATGATGTCATTTTGAATAGATCAAAATCAATTATTCACAAAGAAGAAATTTTGTATTGAATAAGGGGTTAAAACAAATAAAATAGAATTTTGGAGTTTAATTTTCAATTATGAAAATTACTAATTGTTATATAAAATAGAAAATAGGGGATTTGATTGCAATTTAGACTTAGTGGATCACTAAGTAGCACTATATGGAACTCATTTTCATTTTATACAGACAAACCCTAAACCACCGATATAGAGAGAAAAATGGGGGAAAAAAGAAAGAAATGGAAAGAAAAAAGAAGAAAAGAATGAAAACCTAGCGTCGCCGTCTTTCTCCACCCTCTCGGNATTATAGATTAAGTTCTCTAAACGTAACAAAGAAACCATAGTTTGTTTATTGCTTTCTAAAGATTCCGATCATATAGGGTAAAGGTATAATTTCCATTAGAAGAAAAGCTGTTATCTCACATATATCCAACGGTATTTCTAAATACAAGGAACAAATTATATATAAAACAAAAAGAAATATGAACAGAACAATAAGCTAATAAGCAAAAAAAGAACATTACCGAGAAGGTGATCTTCCAATGATCCCAAGGGCATAAATTCATAGACAAGAAGCCTCTGATCCCCATCAGCACAGTAACCAATTAAGTTCATCAAGTTAGGATGATGTAGAAGGCTAAGCATAAGAACCTCAACCAAAAATTCTCGATTACCCTGAAGCCCATTCCTATCCAACTGCTTAACAGCAACGACCTACCAAAACAGGCAAAAATGATTATATAACTTAGAAAACCTATTCATTTATCATTTTGTACCTAGGGCAATGACTATCAAAGACAACCTAATCATTTATCATTTTGTAATTATGGACCTATGGTTGCAATATTCTTAGAGATGTGCTTGCACCGGCAGTCCACTAATTTGCAAGCAAAGCCAATGTAATTTACAAATCTTGCACAAATTAACAACTAATTTTCCCATTTTAAACTGAAGATCAAACCATCATATCTCACGTCTAGTAACAAATTTTCAGTAAAATTGAAGGAAATTTTACCTGACCATTGGGAAGCTGCCCTTTGTAGACACTTCCAAATCCTCCTTCCCCTAAGAAACACTCTGGCCTAAAGTTATTTGTAGCAGCAGCAAGCTCACGAAAAGTAAATGTCTGTGCAGCAATTTGAGCACCAGGTGCGTCTACTGGTGCCAACGGTTCTTTCCTTGGCCCAACATTGCTTCTTAATTTGGCCCTGTCTGCACCTACATATTCCACCATGACAAACCACCAGAGATCCATAAAAACTCACAAAAATCTAAATAGTCCTACTGATGTACAAGATATTATTGCTTCGCTGTAGTAGTAAGCAAGATCCAAGTTTATACTTATTTATAGTCTGCATCTTAATAATTAATGAAGGAAAACAGTTGGTCTAATCAAGTGTTATACAGAATCAGCAGCACTGACTTCTGTTTATTTCAGCAGAGGAAAATAGGAACATGAATTTTTTTCAAGGGTCGAATAATTAGTCTTCCAATATCACAACGAGATCAAATTTAGCAATCATACTCCCCTTGAATTCTCATTTCACTATTCAATAGATAGGAAGAACAAAAGTATCTTTCATCAAATCCATCAGAACATCTTAGGGTCCTCAACTAGTTGAATCCAAGAAGCTATCAAATAAATCTTATGAACAAAAATCAATAACAGTCGTATGAAAAACTGAATCGAATCAACTAATCGTTTACAAAAAAAAATCCATAGCACCACTGCATAAATTTCATAAAAAGACACTAACCAGATGATAATCTTGCTATGTTGGATGGGATGTTTGGTTGGACTTCCTTGTGACCATCTCTCTGTTTTTGAGGATTTAGCTTTCCCTCCTCCCTTGTGTCAAAACAAGGAAAGCAACCCATTTACCTCCTCAAATATCAAACTTTTATCCAAAGTCGTTTCTTGAAAATTACTAGATGCACTCCAAAACCATCAACTTCCCATGTTCTTGAACCCAATTCCACAAAAAATGCCCAAAAAGATTTATTATGTGTGCATTAAATACAATAAATACACAATATTAATTGACTTTATCCAACTGATAAGCTAAAAATGGAGATTTCCAATTAAAGACGAGAATGACAGAGAATATAAGGACCCAATACACAGCTTCAGAAGCAATAACAAAATAACCAGGGAAAACGAGAAAAAAAGATGACAGAAAACCAAGATTGGGAAATTTCCTTTATTATTTAGAATCTTGGTGGTGTGGTGATGGAGCTGTAGCCGGCTCTGCCTCTTGCTTTTCATTCCTGTTATATTTTATAGGCTTAAAGCCAAGCCCTCTTGCTCATGTACATACGTGCACACTAAAATCGAATAATTCCACCAACTGTAGATAATCTTTTATCTGCGTACGTTTACACCACACTCTTCCCTACCAATCTTTTATCTGCTTTGACCAGATTATGGTAAATTCGTGTTTAAAGGCAAATAATTAAAAGATTAAAATTAGATTTTTAGTTGATTTTGATAAAAATTAATGAAATATATGATTGGAAAATTGTAGATCTCATATTTTAATTAAAATTAATTGTTAAGTTTGACTTTAATAAAAATCTATATTCTAAATTATATCCATCAAGGGCTTAAAATGCTATATTCCTTATTACTAATAGGGATTGGATGAAAATAAGATTTGGGATTGAGTTTGATACATACGGATATAAACAAGATTTTTAAAAAAATATATATATTCTCAAAGGTCGTTTGTTTATTAATTATCTATTTAGGCGAAATTCATGTAATAACGGAAGATATAAAATAAGAAAACTTATTACATTTTATTTTTATTTTTTTTCTTTTTTGGATAGCATGATTATAGAGCACGTGAATGTGTGACAAGACAATGAAAATGGGAGGTTGGGGCAGTTTCTGTTTAGGCAAAGGTTAACTAGATTAGAATACAAGTAATACACGACAATGTGTCGAATAGCGGAATGGGCGGAGCATACGATGGGGTAATTGTGTGAAATTAAAGTGGGACCAACCGAAGTTAGAATGTGATCATGGACTTGTTCAATGAAAATGATAGATATTTAGTTTTCCAGAACTTGTACAAAAGGGCAAGAAGTGAAGTTTAATAACAAAATTTGCCACGAAATGCTAGAGGATATCATAGATTTCATATGCTGGTCACTAAATAAAGCTTTGTCAGAGTTGTATTTTTGTTTCTATACACGAAAAAATGAATGGTTATTATCAAGGAAAGTATATAATATACGAACTAAAACTCGTGGACGAGTTCTCCTCAACTTATGTACATGTCCAGTTGTTTGAGCAAGGACTCGTGACAATCATCAAGACGACGCAGAGGGTGTTCCTTTGATGAGGCAAAGGAAATCTCATTAGTGGAAAAGTGGTACTCTCCTTGGGTTACAACTCTTGAATGATCGGTGATCCTATTGAGCTTGATTGTTTTAATATTTCCTCGACCTCTGAACTAGAACTTGAGCATTTCGACCCTAGCTGAAGCTAGAGATTGAAACCAAAACCCTCACCCATGGTCGTGGCCTCATTCTTGTTTTAGATAGAAGCGCCCACAAAATCTTGCTCGTTCTAAAATCCCTACACTCGCACGTTTTCCTTTGAGTTTTGGCTATTTCAATCTTGGAAATTTATTAATTCAAAATTAGCTAGTGAAAGCCAAGCATGACATAATTCATCGCTCGTCTATTCTCGTGGGTCAGATTTCGTCTGTCTCGTTCATGAAAGTACATAATATTGCATGGACTATGCATGTCAGCCATGTACAACCTCGTACATAGTATTGTATGTATATGTGTGTTCAATTACATATAAAAAAGTAAATTTCTTTAAAAAAGTGTATATAGTGAACACTAAATAAATAAATTTGGTAGCAACTAGCAAGTTGGTTAGTGGGAACAGATCATCGAACAACTTGTTAAAACAAACCTAGTCCAACTTGTTTGACCCGCTAGGGAGAATGAACCGTGGAGACACTCTGCGTAGGCATACTACGTTTATACATTTTGTTTTTCCACGTTAGCTTGAATTTATTTATTTTTGAATTCCCCTTCAAAGTGTCAACGTCGACGGTCGAGTGCGGCCAGGGAATCTAGTAATCCGTGTAACGTGCTTGGATAATCCTTAATCAGCTCCCGGCCTAATGTGGACTAAGCCAATTTTTCACCGACTATATTCGATTTAATATAATTCTTATTTTATTATAATTTAACCAGGATGTTCCTTTAAACATATGAATACACATTTGTATATTAGTTAAAATTCCACGGTTGATTAAATGAAGACCAGCGAAATCAGCACCATTGGTGTCGACAGTTCTTTGGTGGTCGACCACAAACTCCACATCTCAAATTCTGTGTTGAGTCCCGACGGAGAATTATTTTCTCAGTTAAATCAAATGTCACGACAATGACGGTCGAAGGGGGTTTTCTCTTGGCAGTTCCATAGAAACTTGGAAAAGTAGTCATCCTGGTTGTTGGTGTTCAACTTATAATAATTTCATAAATCATCCCATAATTAATGGAGAAAATTTAGGTGCCAACACAATCCTAGGATGTCATTTTCTCAACTATTTTCTCTCTCAACGTAGAAATGAAATTGATCATCCATCGTTGATCCTAATCAGAACATTTCTCGAATTACGCAATTAGTCAAATTTTATTCTTTTTGGATTTTAGAGAGATAGAGAGAGAGATCAATCACATCATCATTACCATGAGAAGGAATCTGCAAGATTTTTATTTCCACCTTAAATTATCAATTTGCCTATAATTTCCTCTTAGCTTCAATTTTTGACTTTGTAGAATTGGAGAAATTTCTCGATCACCGGCTGCCATACCGACATGGTGTAATTGTGAACAATATATGATATGTACCTTGTTACGTGAATTTAGCACTAAACTGATTTGTTTGCCCATAGAAAAAACAATACAATAATTATTTTAATTTCACTTTTTTGAATTTATAAAATATTCCCAGCATTTTTTAAAGAACCTTTATAATTTCAAGTATTCCAAACAATTACTTAATGGGAAAAAAAAAAATCATGACTACCATGTTTTAAAATTATATTTTCAGTTTTATCAAATTTTAATCTTTTTTCATAATTCAAGTCTTAATTCAATTTTTTCTTATATGAAATATATTATGACTAAGATAAGAATGTGACTTCAATGGTGGGTTATTAAAGGATGATCTCTCTTTCTCCTCTCTCTCTCTCTCACATATTCCTTTCATAAAACATCTGCTTTCAGTTATTGTCTTCCCCATTAACGGTGGGTTTGATGAATATTATAATGTATTTTAAATAAAGATATGATAAAAAAAATATGTGGTTAAGAAGTAAGGAAAAGTTATTGATTTGATAAAAAATATTATTTTATTAAACAATGTGTGGTTGAAAATGAGTTTTGGAAAAATGTATTTTAATAAAATTGTGTGTCAAACAGGGGTTAAAGGATGATTGATCTCTCTCTCTCTCTCTCGTCATATTCCTTTCATAAAATATTTGCTTTCAGTTATTGTCTTCCCATTTTAACGACTTTGAGAATAAAGATTAAAAAAAAAAAAGGTTACTCCATGAATTTCATAATGTCCTCCACATGTTTTTTGGTCATTACTATTTTACATGTTACACTAGGTCACAACAATCATTTTGCTCGCGATAGGAAGGCGTTTGAAAATTGAAATTCATAAATCTATGTTTGTATCTTCTTGTGAATGGTATAAGATTCATATTAAAAGTTTTATGTGACTATCGATACTTAAAGTAATATGTGACAAATTATTCTATAAAATAGAATTTTTGCATAGTTCATATTGTTCACAAAACTGTATAATTGTGATATATGAGACATGCGAAATTCTGACATCGATATTAATGTGATTCTATTTAAGTGAGTGTAAAATTGTGGCTTAATAATTTGTGATATAAAAATATTTTGCAAGTAAATTCAAAATTTTCAACAATTAACATGATTGTTAACAAAATAAAATGCATATAAAAATATTTCTTAAAACAAAATACTTGATTTTTGAATAAAAAAAAATACAATACTTAATTTCTATAATGAAAACTTAAAAACATGGGTCCTCTAATTTTCTCATAACAATAAGCCCAATTCACACAGTGACTAAGCCCATAGAATAACCAATGTGTACTAGATTTTGAAAATGACCCTATGGCAGGACCCACTACAACGGTATGCACAAGAGCATGATAACACATTGAGCCCCTGTTTGAACCACTTTATTTTTTTCATTCTAATTTTTTTACTCATTTTCAACCACAAATTTTTCAGTAAAATAATATTTTCATCACATCAATAATTTTTTCTTCTTTTTCAATCACATATTCTCCATCAAATCAATCAAAAAAATACATTCTTGCCCCCAAAATGTACATCAAACAGGGATTGAATTAAGAACAGTAAAAAGTTAAGGTAGTTAGAAAACACAATTTCAAAATTAACGAATATGTTTTAAAGTTTCAAAAACTAGGTCATAATTAAATTAAATTTAATTAATTAAATATATCATTAAATATATTTTATTAATTAAATATATTATACAATTTATGATCCCAATCACTTACTAGTCACAGTAAGAAAATGACGCAGTCACAAATCACAAATTTCATGTCACGTCCTATTTATTCGTCACAAATTATTAAAATAATTGGTCACACAATATTTCTTGATAGCAAATCACAAATTTTATAGATCACAAATTATTTGTCGATCACAACTTATTTTACAATCACAAATTTTATAAATCATAATTTATTTATTGATCACAAATTATCAAATTATTAGGTTACATATTATTTCTTAATCACAAATCACAAATTTAATAGGTCACATCTTATTTTAAGATT